TAGAGCACAAACCTGAATGCAGCAAACATATTATACTTATGTTTGTGGTAGAAAGGAGTTTCAAATATTGTTCGATTGAGCAACTCCATTGATCACCCAATAAGCTCGGTGGTTGAATATTGTCGATTCCTGCCCTTGTCTGAAATCTAAGATTCCACTGAAGTTTCTCACAATACTATTTGACAAGTCACCTATTTTCTTCTTGGTCCAAATCCCTTCTTACAATCTGAATTGGATGTTCTTGCAGAGAAGTTGTTCGCAGCCCGATGGTGGAAGAACAATGTTCTGTTCAGCTTTGCTTCCCAGTGGAACTGAAAAATGGAACCATGGTGTGTTCTTGTCCTATATTACGAAGCTTTTGATGGAGAGTTGAATTTTCACGATGATTTATAACTCGGGAAAAACAATTATATGGCAGGTAGAAGACATTCACATTGTTGGATTCCTGAGCAAACTTCTTGAAACAAAAATTATGCAGGTTCTACGGTTCAAACATGGACAGGTATGCGTGCCTCCATATTACTTTATTTCTATTTATCATCTTCATCTTTGAATTTAATTCTTCTTATTACCTCTATGCTATAGATCTACACTGTAGGTGTTTCAGTATTTCTTGGCGGTAATAAGCCTTCCAGAACTGCAAATGTTCGTGGTGATATAAGCGTAAACTTTTCTTGCGATCCAGAAATCTCCTCAAAGCTGGTTGGTGCTTTTGTAGTTAGCCATGTCCTGATATTTTGGTTTATTAATCGATTGGTCGTTCAACTAGCTGTTTGATACCATATTACAGGTCGATCTTACTTTGGATGAAATATTACGTCTTCAAGAGGAAGGGCCGTCAGATGAGGATGTCTCAACCATCCTTGAAATTGAGCAAAGAGCTCACGAAAATGGGCTTCAAGTAAGTTTTCTTGTTATTATAGGGTTCATTTTGGTCGGAGATACACCATTGTTCCTGACAGTCACCTAGTGCACAAAGTTTCGTGGATGCGAGAGATGAATGAAGTGGATATAGTTACAGCCCATTTGATTTCTGTTGCGGATTTCCTTCTTTCAGGAGAATTACTACTGGTTGGACAGGATTTTACACAGCTATCAGTCAAGAGCCTACTCCGGTGATGTTGGCACTTGTTTTGAGGTTGGTTGCTCTTCTTCTCATAACTGAAACGGAAACATTTCCCAGCATGTTTCCAAATATTCTAATGATTATTGAACGTCTGTTGCAGATTCAAGATGAAGGTCGGTCCAAAGTCAGACAATCTCTGACGCCAACAACGGCACAGTCAGCATTACAAAGGATACTACCTTTCCCTTGCAAAAAACAGTACACTGTAGTGATTTTAATGCCCCGAACATCTCCCTTTAAGTCACTAAAATCGTTCTTCCAATCTACCGAATCCAGTTATCAAAGACACACTAAGGTGAGTTCTAGTCAAAATTCCTCTTACTTAAACTGATTATCTCCACTGATTTCTAATCTTTTAGAGTAACTATATGACAAGTGAGTTTTTACTGTTTGTGGCAGATTTTGGCCGGCCTTGCTGGTCTCACAGTTTTGGGTCTTACCTTATGGAGATATTCACGACGCACCTAAACTCGTAGGTGAAATTTACGTAGAAGAGCTCTAGAATCTAGATACACAACAAGCGCGAACGCTTTGGTTACAAATTTAGGACGCTTCTGTGGTTTTTTTTTTTCGTTGCTCCAATTAATCGAGAGGTACATATGAAGTTGAAATTAGCTGAATTTCTGCAGAACCAAATACAAATTTATTTTTGCTCCGTTCATAGCGTGTAACGTTGATGTTTATTTCTTTCCTTCCCAGCTTCATAACATGTATTCAGTAATTTTGTTGGAGGAGAATTATCCGGTAATATAATAAATATGATCGGAAAACGGAATATTTGTTTGTGAAAGGATGTTTTTCACTGGACGGTTGATTTTTCGTGCCTATTTCATTGGATGAAATTTGTCTGTGATGCAACTGACAACTGTTTGATACTTTTCTAGTGATGTATTACAACTTCATAATTTCGTGGGTTCGATCTCATCCAACGTTACCAAAAGAGTGAATTCGACATGTTTCTTGTCACTTCACTAGCTAAAAGGTCGAAAAAGGTATTATGGTTTAGGGGTGTAACGAAAAAGGTATAATAAATAAGTCATAATTTTTTAGTGATAATGTCACGTTATGTTACCAGTAACACGTATAATTATTTATTTACACTATGCTCTAAAGTCTAACACATCAATACTGTCGTGCACATATATTATAAGGCACAATGAGTAAATATGCATCGTCTTGAGAAATGGGTTAACACAAATTGATTAATTGTTTCTCGTTGTCCGATAATCGATATGTACAAAGACTATTGCAAATTTGCAATGTAGTCATATGGGCACAACAAGGTTACGTCACCATAATGGGCCTAGCAACAATTAAACATTAAACACAATATATATCGTCTTCATAACTCATATGAGTTGAATTTAAGATCTCTTTCGCCTAAGTGAAGACAAATATCACTATATTAAAAGTTAGTCGAAAATTGATTAGTTATTAACACATTTTCGAAAGAAAAAATATGGCTTATCCTAAACACATTTTTTTTTAAACCAAAAACAAAAGGGATGTGCCATCCACACACTCATTTTTACTTTTCACACACCCTCTTAATTTTTGGCTATCAGATCGAATGAATTGAAGAAGATCAAAGAACATAAATAATAAGGTGTGAGAAGTAAAAAGAAATGTGTCAATATCACACCTCAGCAAAATAAAAATTTGTTTAATTTATTTTTTAAGAAATAGAACAAAACGACGTCATTAGTAAACTACCATCTCTAATCGGCAACAAGCGACACGTCGTACAACTAGAAGAACCGGAGTCTGATAGATCTTTATAAGGGTGTGGAAGCTAGGGTTTTACGCTTCTTTTTTAGTTGATCCTGCAGCGCCTCTTCGTCCCCTCTCTTTCTGCATCCACTTCCAAGCTCCCAAAGGTCCCTCTCTCTCTCTCTCTCTCTCTCTCATTCTTCCTAGCATGTATGGCAATTCTAAATCTAAAGTCCTTCAATCCCTGTTTGGCCGCCGAGAAATCGACGGAAAACAGAAGAAAATTATATCTTTGCAATCGGATTTATGCTTTAACTTTCTGGTTTTCTGTAGTTCAAATCTAGGGTTTTTGTTTTATGATTAGAATTTTGAAATTGTGGGGTTTTTTTTTTTCCTGAAGTGAGGGATTTGCATTTGCAGGTACTTAGAAGGAGAGTGTGAAAATGGTTGAGAAGACAAAGGGAAGGAAGGAGGAGGTGGTTACCAGAGAGTACACCATCAACCTCCACAAGCGCCTCCATGGCTGGTATTATATTTTACATTATGTTCTTGCTTTTGGTTAATCTTTTTATATATTAGTGTTTTTTTGTTGTTGTAGATCTTGATTGCGGATGCTTGTTTTGCGTATTGTGTTGTCCGGCTAGCTTCGTGCTTGTCTATTTTCTGATTTTTATGTGGGATTGGGATTTATATGCGGATTGTGGATATTTGATTTCAGTTTGCATTTCTTAATTGTTGCTAGCCCCGTTGTGGTGGCGTAACCTTGTCGTCAACGTGCTTGTTATGAACTTGTATTTTATTTTCATGATTAGTTATTTAACTAGAATGAAATGTATGTTTGTGTCGGGTGTGAAAGGAGTAGGAACAGAAAAGAGATATGATGCAGATCTTAGTTATTAAAACTGGCAGGCTGGGTCTTCTAGCAAGTTCGTAGATCTTGCAGGGGTTTGAGGTGGACAATGTACACCATATTTTTATGTTTAGGAGCAGGGAGCGATGATTTTATTGGCAAAATTTGGTTTGAGGTCGCTGAAATTGGAGTTACCAGATTGAGATACATTGGTATGGTGAGGTGTCTTGGTGATGGATTAAAAGGGGGGGTGGGGGCTGAGTGGAAGCGAGACTGCTAGAAGAGATCGTTTGTAGGACTTTAGTATGGAAATGGTGTAAGCTACTATGTGGCTGTGGGCATGGGGTTGTTGCAGAGGTTCTGGTCCAGAGTGAGGGAGTGAGTTGGGCTTGGAATTTCTGAGGTGAGGGACAGTCGATGCTATTGAAAGTCTCGGGAGATAGTAGGATCTGTATAAGTTGTCCTTTTATTTGCGAATGTTTCTTTGTTTATTTGCTTGTGCATTGTTGAACCATTGAAATTTGTACTATCATTAGAAAAGCATCAAAGTAACTCTTGTGCATTGTTGTTCCATAACAGCACATTCAAGAAGAAGGCTCCTAATGCCATAAAGGAGATCAGGAAGTTTGCCAAGAAGGCCATGGGAACAAATGACGTCAGGGTGGATGTGAAGCTGAACAAGCAGATCTGGAGCAGAGGAATCAGGAGCGTCCCAAGAAGGATCAGGGTTCGCATTGCTCGCAAGAGGAACGACGACGAAGATGCAAAGGAAGAGCTCTACTCCCTTGTTACCGTCGCTGAGATCCCAGCCGAAGGACTGAGTGGGTTGGGCACCAAGGTCATTGAAGAGGATGAATGATCTATTAATTTCTGTTTGAAGTAAGCTACTCTCATTAGAAGAAAAGGGAATTTTATATGCATTTTTCGGAAAAACCTTCAGAGTTTGTTGCCAAACTAAAGACTTACCTCACTAGTTTGGTGTATTTTTGTTTGGTTAAATATTCAGCTTCAGTAATGTACTTTTTGGTTTTTAAGTGATGTGCTTTTTCTGGTACACTAACACCTTTGGATCTCTCTGCCCTCTCTATCTTCGAATTTGCTTTCGTTTGCTTTCGGAGGAAATAAAACTGAGCAAAATTCTATTGTTCGACGGACGGACCAGGTTTCTGTGCGTCCAAATGCGGCATGGGCCACAAGCAGCCGCATGTCCAGATGCGGGCATGTGGACGGCCGTATAAGCTATTTAGTCGCTAACCGCCACAAAAAGGTACTTTAGGCAGCGGTTAGGAATCGCTAAGGTATTTTAAACAGCGGTTAGGAAAATCACCCTGGTATTTTAGTAGGCGGTTGCAAAATCGCCGTTAAAAAAGTCGTACAAAAATTGTGACACCTCCCTCGACGGTTTAGACAACGCCTTCACACTAAAGAGACGTGCTTTTACAAATATCTTCTCATCAGCATATATGTCCGTGGTTATAGAAATTACATGGAAATTTTCTTTAAAACTACTCACTAAGTAATTTCTTGTAGTCTTTTATGAAATTTGGTCATCGTTCGTGCTGACATGAAGCCTGCAGGTCCCAAAAGTTTAAGCCTGCAAATTCACACAGCCAAAGCTCCATTAAAAGCACATTTATACAGCTAAAACTCAGAAATGACGCAGTTACAAAACAAACGGAGAAATAATTTCACTCTCCCCTACTAACATAGGCAATCGAGGACCAATTCAATCTTTATTCTTTTCGAGCAATACAATCGCTACATTTTACTTTTCATAGCGACCAACATTCCACTTCCTGTGTTTCAGTTCTAATTTTTTACCTTTTACCATGCCATCTACTTATCATGTAATTAGCCACTTATTTGGTACTATCTATGTACCCTTCATTTCAGCAAGAAGCGACTTCCAAGAACAACATGCAATTAAAACTGAAGTGTTTCTCTCCGTTTTTTTCCCTTATATCCATTTGAAGAAGATAAAATTAACCAACACCGATCAATATTACTAAGCTTTCTTAGGTTGTTGCACAGGGATATATGAATAATTTTCAGAACCTTCGACTTCAATTTTCATATTCAACTTCATTGACTTAAATTATTCAAATAATCTAACAACAGGATTGATGTTTAAACCAAACCCTATCAGTGACTACACAATCGGAAACCACAAAATTTCAGACCTGACACTATTCAAACTGAGTATTACAAAATGTGATTAAAGACAATTACCTTCGAGTTCAACCATGAATTTCCATGCGATTAACACGGTTAGAGAATCAAGCTTGTACGAGCTCCCTCTCCATCTCCCTTATACCAGAGTCAAACTTTTAGTCTACAGCCCGTGCTATTTATCTCGGATCAATGTCAAAGATGGACAAACACAAGGTTCAGCTAGCTTTGTAAGCATACATATAGCCTCGAAGCTTTCTTATCTCTTCTGATGACTCAGTTAGCAGATGATCAACGTACAGAGCCAGTGCCGCTCCGCTGCATACCAGATAAGCGTTCATGAATAAATTTAAAAGTTGTACCGGCAACTTATGAAAATGAATCGCATTCTAACATACCTTAGAGGTCCAAATGGAAGCCAGATTACATCCCAGCGGAACCTTGGCAATCTGCACAAATATCATATTTGTTCAAAACTAGTTTGTTTGTACCTTAAACATACAGCACAGTTCACAAGGGAAATAAACTTAAGAGCAAGGCAAGATGACAACATACTGACCACAAATCGGAAAATAAAATGCAGGTGCAGTGGTGCACCCTGTACCCATGCTCAACACAAAAGTGGAATTGCACATTATTTTCTGTTTTTGCACAAGTCAATTGAATGAAGGGCCACTGTCTCAGGGGCTGGATGAAGGATATATATATATATATAGAGAAATGAGATATTTTAATGTATTTAATTTATTGTTCCACTTAACTACCTCAGAGTGACAGTTTCATCGTATTTCATTCTTAATGTTTCTAAGTTGTGAATATTCTTGTATAAGACCGGTTATGTGATAAAATAACTAATGTTAGAATGTGTGAGTTTGAGAAGTAACATACCTCAACATGTAATACAGCCAGAAAGCTGCAAGTACAATGCCACTAAAGAGTGAGTACCAAATCCATTGGCGGTGATGCTTTGAATCATGAAGCAATCCTATGATAGCTGATGAATATGTTACAACAGCTAGCCAATCTGTTATAGTTTTAAATAGTTAATTATTTCATCTCAAAGTAATGTAAAAGACAGCCAACTAAGCATATTAAATGTCATGCAAAGCATACTTCCCTTAACAGTGAATAATCACGGACTAGGTTTAAAACCCAACAAATACCCATTAAGTATAATAGTACATATTCTATATACAGAATTTCGAAAGACCCAACTATAAGAAATATTGGTTGAGCACTTAAACTATAATGCTACAACCATCACATGACTGTTGACACATTAATGCACGACTCTACTAAATGATAAGTAGGGGAACATCACCTGCAGATATAATCATCCATGAGAGCATCTCTTCCATGAAATAAGCATGATAACGCTGTTGATCAAGATCAAAATATGACATTTCATCATGAGCAAACACATTTTCCAGAATACCATAGCCGCAAAATCACATATAACCAGTAGTTGCCCATCTTACTGTGTGGCACTAAACAATGTCATTATCGATATTAGAACGACAACAAATGATGAAAAAAGATTCATCCTCTGCGAAAGACAATAAATTACTACATCAATCAAATGTCACAGGTTCCATAAACAACAAAAAAGCACTCAACTCACAAATTCTCAATTTCTCAACAACAACGAGCTCTACCCAGTGAAATTTTGCAACTTGATCTTAGAACCCCTACCCTTATGGTAAGTAACTGAAGATACCACACATTCACAACTTGTAAAGATCTCTTGCTCATAAAACTTATTATTAAATACAAACCCCAATTGAGACCCAATGGCTCCCAAAGAATTATTTGAAATGCAATTGAAAGAAGATGCCCACTGTCAAACATATAGTCCTAATAACCCAGAAAAAAAGGTATCAATGAGAACTTAGTGAAAGCAAGATGCTTGAACTTGCTTTTAATAAGAGAAAGAGAATCCACATACCAATTCCCATGGAGACAGAACCTGCTGACAGATTGAGTACAACAGAAACACCGCGAAACAAAAGAGAAGCAATGCAAACAAAACCTAGGAAAAGAAAAATCAGCAAAGTTACTTCACATTGTAGAAAACCAAAAGCAAAATAAGATGTAAAATTGTTTAGTTGGAGATAACTTTTTACCCTCCATAACCGACTCTGTTGAGCTTGACTCTTCTCCATTTCACGAACCAACTCCTCTTGCTCTGTAAATTCGACAACCCAGTAACTAAAATTGGAATGCAAGTTCAAAATTTTGCCAATTTATCATTTTTCGGCAGCCAATTGGAGAGAGAGAGATAGGGACCTTGAGTATCCATGGGGCGAGAATCGTTGAGGGAAGGATCGTCCCAAGTGGGTAGAGAGAAGTCATCGTCCTGTGAATTTCTCAATTTTCTGCTCAGCTTCCTCATCGCTCACACTTTTCGCAGTTGAGGTTTCTAATTTTCTGTTTCGGGAAAGTGGAAGGGAAAATAAAGGAAAATTTGGGGATTTTTCTCGGCCGAAGTTGTTAGTCCTATCGTGGACGGTGGATTATGCGGGTCTGTTTTTCTCCTGTTATTTTCATCTCTACCTAGCATGTGACTTTTTGAGAACTCACTGCCGTAACAGCGTCATCAGAGCCCAAAACGTTCGGGTTGAGATGTGACATTTTGTCAAAGAAGTCGCACTTCCTTTTAATATGACACGTTTGTTTCTATTTTTCTCGTTTGAATTTTAAATGAAATGTTTTGGTTATTGTTCTATTGATCATATTTGTTTTTTTTTTTTAAATTAATTCATGGTAATATAAATTTATCATTAATTTGAATTATTCTGCCAACTCGATGTAATTTTCATCCATTTTAATCAGTAAAAGCCTTTGGATTTGCTACAGATGTGTTTAAGATTCCGTTCCTGCAAATTTTGTTCATAATTAAATTATTTGTTAATTCAAAGTATTTATTAATTTTTATTCCAAGTGTGCTAGTAAACCTGTATGTTCTCTAATTTAGTTTTGAAAATATTGTGTTTTACTAACACAAAATAAATGAATATTAATGCAGTTCATGATGAGGGAAATTCTGATAAGTCTTACTGTTTAACTGTTTCGACGTGATCATTTTGCAGTTCATGTACCTTGGAGTCCAAGCTACCATGGAGGGCGAGTGTAACGGAAGCTTTGCGTTAGCAATTCGACGACGTTCCGATGGACCACAAAGCCTTTGCAGAAACACAGAAGAGTGAAAAGAAAAGTTGTGTGGGGAAGGGGATGAAGAACAATCAACTAAAAAATTAAGCACATGTTTTTCCTGTCTGGGAAGTGGTCCAAAATATTAGTAGAAGCTCTTAAATTCAGGGGAAAAGGAAAAGACTTACAGTGTCTGCAGAAACAGGTTGTACATTTCAATGGCATACTGAATAAATCTCAGTAAGTGATGGGGAAAATCTGTTTGTTTTTTTTTCTTTTTCTGGTTAAATGATTATTACTTGTCGAATGAATGATTCGTAGAGACATAACTCATTAGTCGCAAATCACAGTTTAACACGTATGCAAAAATAAAATCACACAAAAATAAAGTTTATGCATACATATGTCAAACTATGTTTTGCCTTTAAGATGGAATGACTTTTTTTACGAAACTGAGTAATTTCCGAAGGAATTGTTGGTAAAGCATCCATAAAAAAACAAAAAATAATACGAAAATATACACAAACAAAACTGATTGTAAACTTTCATAAAGAAATGGAACCGAGGGACACCAAGACTTCAATAAATGAGCACTAAAACATGCTTTATCAGTTGCCAATGACAACTTTTATACTGAAAAAATAATGAAGTAACATGGATCTCCTTTGCACAGCTTCTTTTACAGGCAAAAGTAGAACACAAAATATACAAGAAAATATATGTTGAGTATGAAAACTCAAATCTACAAATTAAGCTTCCATCTCAAAAGCTCATAAAATTATATTTGGTTGATCTGAGCAACCTAATCAGATGATGCAGATTCCAGAATTTAACAAAAAAAAAAAAAAAAAAAATCCTATCTTCCTTCGGCTTATATAACATCAATTTTCTACCACCTGCGATTAACACAAATCATATCATGTGTCAATATATAGATATACACATTAGATGTGTGCACACATTACATGTTCTTGTCTGTCAAGTGTGAGTGAAGTAGAAATCTTCTTACCACTTCTGTAGGTTCTGTAGAACTAGATTTCCTGCAATAGAAGATCACCTCCTTCAGATTCTCGTCGCGCTCATCGGCACTCATTGCAGAATAATACTCAGCACGATGTTGTCCCTGCAGTGGTGACTGCATCCCGCTTCTCATTTTGGCTGAATCATCACCACCACAAGGCCTCATTCCTTTGGGATCATTTTTCGCAGTCCCCGAACAAGGTCTAGGCTTAAAACACTTCCAAAACCGAACCACAATCTTCCAAAACAAAAACCTCCCTTCGCGTCGCTTGGGTAAACTAGGGACGGTGAAGTAAGTAGTGGGAGAAGTACAGCAGCTCGGTGATGGTGCAGAAAAGCTACATGGTGAGCGAAGTGATTTTGACACAGAATGAATGGAGACTATCGAAGGGCTCCAAAACCCAACAATCACATTGTTCATCATACTTCAACTCTAAACTCTGCATTATATGATCTAAGAAACTACTTCCCTCTTCTCTCACAAGAATATTAGTTCTTTACCCGCTCCTATATATAAGCAAAAAATTCATCTTTTTACCTTTTTACAGAAACATTGATCACCTTCAATAATCTACTGCACTGGTTGAGGGGAATCTTTGATGAACTGGGAGGAGTTTTTGGTTAGCTGCAATTTACCAAATTTACCAAGGACTTATTTTTGGAAAGCAACTTGATTGATTTTGTCGGGACCATGAGTCTTGTTTTAGAAATACAGTTCACAAGAGGCTTTAGATTTGATTGATTGATATTATGTGATTTTGTTTATATCTTGCGCTCCCGACAATTTCTTTAGAAAATTATTATGAAAGTTTGTAATCCCAAATATGGAAAAGGCATGTGACCCAAATTTCTTTAGTCATAATTGACTGCATAACCAACTAGTTATTCTTCTTTTTTCAATGTCGAAACAGGTTCTAAGTTTGAATCTATCCACCATGTTGATAAAAAAATGAGGTCATACATTCCGACTAAGTTTTGATGAGATAAATGTTAGTTGTGAACAACTACTTAGTCGTGAACAACTACATAACCAACTAGTTTTTGATCTAGTGATACTTTGTTTCCTAATGTCAAAAGAAGTTCCAAGTTTGAATCTGTCCACCCCGTCGAAAATGACTGCATAAGATTTGAGGGCATATTCCAAATGGGTTTTCGTGAGATAAATGTTAAATTAATTTTGTACGAGGAAAAAATATGAGAATTATTATTGACACTCCAAACTTTCAATATTAGAAAAAAAATAACGATAATTGATATTTTCAATAGGTTAAAGTTAATATTCGAAAGAAACAACGCAATGTGCAAATGGCTTATAAGTCAAGTGTTTAAGAATATTTGCCTTCACACTATCGCTGGTATAAAAAAACAGCAAAACTGAACCTATAAAGCATGCCATGCTCACTATTAACAATTTAACTCAACAAGATTGTCGCTTTAAACATCGACAGGTTAGCTGAAATTATTTATATGAAGTCAGATTTACTTTACATGCCTAAGAATCCGCTCAAATTCATATGAAGTTCGAAACTTCGATGTGGTTTACAACATTCGAGCCCTAACTATCAATCCTAGCACTTCACAATTCATCTTGAGAGTTCCCTTTAGACGAAGTAGATTCGGGTTGATTTTCAAGTAGGTACCTTGTGGCCAAGGATACATGTAATGCCGCTCCATATAGAAGCACATCTTCGTTTACTCTGAAGTTCGGTGAATGCCCTGATTCGAGCTCTCCTTGAGACTCGTTCTTCATACCAACCACGAAGAAGTATCCTGGAATTACTTCTTGATAAAATGCGAAGTCTTCTGCACCCATCGTTGGTTGCCTCTCAATTATGTTCCGAGGGCCTAGCAAATCTCCCGCAACATTTAGGAAGTGTTGATGCAGATCTCTGTCATTAATGACTACGGGGTAGAAGGGTTTAGCCTTTTCATTGAATAGGACAGTTGCATTGCACCTCTGTACGCTGGCTTGTCTAGTGATGACCTGCAACTCGCATAAATAATTAACGTTTATGATGAGACATTGTAGAAGAAATGAATGAGTCGGCACAAGAATTTTCAACTTCAGGACTCAGGATGCCAAAAGGAAAAGAAGGAATCTAAGCCAGTAGAAGCAAAGCATACCTCTTCAATTCTTTGTTTAAGATGCATAAAGCTTTCCTTCGAAAATGCCCTGAACGTCCCACCAATTGTAACAGAATCTGGAATGACATTGAATGCACCGCCTCCTTGGAATTTTCCAACAGTAACAACCTGCAAGACGTGCTTTCATGTAACTGAATGGATACGGACTAACTGAAGCGTTATTCCTTGTGTAGAGGTCTACAAATCATATGAAAAAGATGCTAACATTCACGTAAGGGACAGTGACTGGCAGTACATGGGAAGTAAAGTAATTAATTGCTTGCTATAGTCGAAAACAGAATTGATATGGGTAGAACTTTTAACTCCAATTAGTAAATAAGCAGTAGAGTAATACCAGGAACAAAAAATGGATTATAGGTACAGACATAAGCAAAGAGAGAAGGAGAGAGAGAGGGAACCTGTGAATCCAAGGGGTTGGCTTCACGTGAAACAAGATGCTGCAGACTAACAATAACATATGAAGCAGCCATGATCGGGTCTATTGTGTGCTGTGGAATGGCAGCATGACCCCCCTTCCCACTTATTACCGCCTCAAAAAAACCACTGGCAGCTAAAAAGGGCCAGACCTGGAGGCCACTGAACCAATGGGGTGATTAGCAGCGACATGCAACCCAAAGATGGCACCAACATTCTCCAGAGCCCCTTCATCTACCATCTTCTTTGCTCCTCCACCTCCTTCCTCAGCTGGTTGGAAAACAAGAACAACTGTTCCCTATAAGAAACATAAGAAACAACTAAAAAAAGGTTCTCATGGATAAGAGAGATACGAATGACATTGAAAGCCAGTTGACAGAAACAGTATCTCAGAGAATAGAGACATCTAAGTACAATGCAGCTCTATGTAGGATACACATAATCTCCAATGATAACTGGCATACGGAAGCACGATTAGAGGTCTTTATGTAGATAAATTAGTTGGCAAGCAACTTCCTACAAGCATAATGCAATTACATTTGACAAAATTCCATATTCAAGGTACATTTTCTACGATTTGGAATCTGGTCTAGGAAGAAAAGAAATTTTTAAGCTAAAAACAAGAAAGTTATGACGAAGTTCTAACCACAAAATTTAACACACAGAAGGATTAATAATCTCAATGAGCGAACCTGCATGCTTCTAAACTGGTATCGCCCAAACAGGGAACACATAATATGTTTTAATGATATTGTTTTTTTAATTCCCTGATGTTTGCGTAACCTGGACATGAATCGAGAACTACGCTTTCCTATCTGAAATGACTATTTTAAACATAAGTTCATGTCAACTGAATCTAAGGTCATGTAATGAACTCAACCCGTAAAACTAACGAGTAAACAGAACACAACAGATTCAAACCAATCAAGCAACCAGACTCACAATGCAATTGACATTTTAGAACGATTATAAACATTCATTATTTTAACTAGTCATCCAATAACACCTGTAATTCGTGTCGATGTTCTTGAAGTATCTTTGCAGCACCAAGAAGCATGGCAACATGAGCATCATGTCCACAAGCATGCATCTTCCCTGCAACTTTGCTCTTGTGCTCCCACTCCACACTCTCCTGCATCAAACCAAAAGACACAATACTTTCCGTCAATTCCTCATTAGCTTTAATTCAAAACATCAGTCTAAAAATCACAATTTTCTCCCACTCAGCAAGTCAACAATCACCGATTTCTAAAACAAGAAAATACGTGCATGTTTGAGATTGCTTCGGAGATAGATAAAAGTGCTTTCTGACTACTAAAAACGCTTCTAACTGCTTTTGACAGAAACTGTTTAGAAGTGCTCGTGCGTCATAGAAAGCTATTTCTAGCACTGCCAAGCTTCCTTTTTTAACACTTTTAGCAAAAGCACTTCCCTTTCTGCAGAATCAATTTAAAGCACCAAAATTTTACTAAACCTGCATAGCCAGAGCATCCATATCCGCTCGAATCGCAACGAACGGCGATCCACCACTCCCAACAAAGCCAACAACGCCGGTTCCGGCAAATGGGTATTTGTAACGGACGTCCATCCGATCAAGTTCGTCTCTGATAAGCTTACTGGTCTCGAATTCCTCGAAACCAAGTTCTGGGTTTTCATGTATTTTCCTTCTGACTCCCACCATGTAATCGCAAAGCTCCTGCCTTTTGGCGAAGTCGAAGAACTTCACCGGGATTTGGGCCAACTCTTCCGGGGTCAGAGAACTGGCTGAAGAAATGAGAAGCAGGAGAATCAGCAAAACAGTAAAAATCGGGGGGACCCATTTGCAGGACGCCATGGATTTGCAGAGTGAGCCTTGTGGAAGCGGTGATGGATATGGAGAGGGGTGGTTGAAATTTTGTACAAAGGTGTAGGATGCAAATCATATCAAAGCGGGGATGATTTTTTTTTTTATATGAAAAATGTATAGGGTGTTATGTCAGATTTTTTTATAGAAAATAATCCATTCAACTTCATAGTTAGAAATTCAGATTTGCAATCTATAGTAATAGAAAGTAATCATGTTTTATAGCAAAAAATCATCCATTGCTTGTGGTTTTATACTTATTTGAAACATATTTGATTAATTTAGATTTTATTTAGTTAGATTTTTGAAGTGAAGATTTTCGCGGAATCCTCTTTATGAGGATCTCAAGGATTCTCAAATCACATTTCTTTTGACAGAGTAATCAACATACTTCAACAGTAGAAGAGTAGAAGGAAAAATGAGACAGAGTTAAATAAGAAGTTTCAGAATCAACTATTATAAATAAGAAGTTATATAATATATCTAATTATTTAGCTTAGTTTAATGCTTTCCTAAATTTTCACTTAATATTACGTTTTAATGATATATTTTCTTCAATTGTAAGTGAAAGGTATTAAATTCAGTTCTCATCAAATGCGAAATTGAATCAGCATTATTGCTAACTCATTGTGAAACTTAGCTTACTCTACAATCCTTTCAGTGTTGATAATATTGTTCGTTAAAAAAAAATTAAAATAAAAAAACTCTGCTAAACTATCGTTCCATAAACAACCAGGAGGATCCTCGTCGGATCCTCTTTGTAAGGATCTTGAGAATCCTCCAATCACATCTGTTCATCGTATATCGTGCGGTTAGAAATCATTGTAAATTTTTTTATTTGAAATTAATATAAACAGTATCTGACAAAAATTAACCGCACAATGTATGATAAACAGATATAATTAAAGGATCTCCATGATCTTTGTAAAGAGGATCCGACGAGGATCCTCTCATACCACCAAAGGGTATTTTTGTAGGAAATGAGTTATTTACATTATAATTCTACGTCTTATAGTAAAAACAAAATCATTCAAACTCTTTTCTAATTGGAAAATAGAAACACTTCCCACTTCCACTACATTGCAATTGCGACCCAAAAGAACTGATAGTGTCCACTTCAGAACGACCAACCATTGATTGCCAAAACGACACCGCCCCAAAAGATAAACACCATCCAGCCGTCCCTCGCGCCTCCAGGGGACCCCACAACCCAGGCATCACGCCACGTGGAAATGCATAACTCCAATCGACAACGTAGAGGAAAAAACTGGGAAAAAGGCAAAGCAGCTGTCCCTTCTCCTCCTTCCAATACAACAACAACACGCCTAGGCAAATCGGCAGAGCTCTCACCCAGTTTACGTGGGTCTCTCTCTCCCCACCCCCCTCTTCTTCTCCATCAAAACCCTAATTTCTCCAATCCGATCCGTCGTCTTTCCCCAATTTCCACCGTCGATTTTTGAGGTATGCGTACATGCCCAATTTATACCTTCACGTCTGTATGTTCTGATTGTTTTCCGATGAATGTCGCGATGATTCTTTTCGGTGAAAATTTTCGATCTTGATTTGTGTGGAATTAGGGCTTTGCGTTGACGGTTTTTTTATTGTGAATTGTGTAGAAGATCGAGAGGTTTTGATAATCTGCAGAGATGTCAACCATGTTCACCAGGATTTTTGGGAAACCTAAACAGGAAAACAGTGCCCTAACCACCTTAGACAAGTTGAATGAGGTAAAATTTCGATTAATTCGTCGTTATGTGTTGTTTTGCATTGATGGTATTTAATGAAGTATTCGAATTTGTGTGGTTCCTTGGTGATTTTGTTTGTTTGATTGATTCGGGGTTATGGAAATTTGATGAGTTTACTGTGTGTTTCGAACTTTTGGTATGTCGATGATTCTTTTCGGGTTTGTGGATAGCTTAGAATTTAGTTTGAGAGGTTGTGGTGGCACATGAAATGCTTCCTCATTGTGTAGTTCTTCATGGTTTCTTTGAAGTTGGTTGATGCAATTAGATTGCTCTCTGAATCAATTTTGGTAAACGTTCCACAGACGCTAGAAATGCTTGAGAAAAAGGAGAAAGTACTACAGAAGAAGGCCGCTGCAGAAGTTGATAGGGCCAAGGATTTCACCAAAGCAAAGAACAAAAGGGGTATGTCTGCGAAGTGTTTTCATTTTTCTCTGAAGCTTGGTCTAAAATTCCCGAAAAAACTAGCTTTTTATGATTACATCGGCAATAATCCGGTAAAGGGGGGAGGGTTTATTCAGAGCGGGCTCAGTTTTATACTTCTTACTATTAGATATTGCCCATAAATCTCATGATAGGTTTAGGAGAGTTTGAGTGGTGATATCTAGTTTTGAATCTTGTTCTCGATGAACTCATCAAATTTCTGCTTTGAGAGAGGGCTTATGTTCACATCCGTAATGGTGTCACAATTTCCACCTAGTTATGTAAACACAAATATGTCTGTTTCCGTGTATTGCTTAACTCAATCTATGTTTCAAACTTTACCTGAGGATTTGTTTATCCTTTTCACCATTGCTTTTAGCTCCAATTGAATCTGGTAGTGATGAAGACTGACTGTTAAGAAGCCCTTGAAGTTGGTCAGATGCATGAATGATGACTGTCAAACTTTTCTAGATTTTGTCCATAAGATTGAAATCATTAGGAGGTGATTTGGATCTAAAACCAAAGATGTCTTAACCACGGCTTTTTAAATTCTAGTATTGTGGTTGAGTTATAACTTATCTTGCTATTTTGCAGCGGCTATACAATGTTTGAAGAGGAAGAGGTTATATGAGCAGCAAATAGAGCAGCTTGGAAATTTCCAGCTGCGTATCCATGATCAGGTAACGATGAGATTGGAATTATATTCTCCCATGCTTTCAAAGTGTTTCAAATATATTTTATCATTTTAATATACAATATATTCTTTGTTTTGGATTTTTTATGTTGATGAATAGTATTTGTGTGTATTGATGTTGCAGATGATAATGCTAGAAGGTGCAAAAGCCACAACCGAAACTGTAGATGCCTTGAGAACTGGAGCTGCTGCAATGAAGGCAATGCAAAAAGCAACGTAAGTAGTGTATATTATACATAGAGGATATTTTCAGGTCCACTGGAGTTTTGCTCTAATAATGTGCTCAAGTCGTTAATTTGAGAGTACTAGATCTGTATAATATTATCAGTTACTTACTATTTGTGCTTTATCTTCATTTCCTGTATGTCCCATGGGATCTGAATAATTCAATTACGGGTGTTCCCTGACATAATTGAAATGTGTATGTTTTTGTACAGGAACATAGATGATGTGGACAAGACTATGGATGAGATTAATGAGCAGACGGAGAACATGAAACAGATACAGGAAGCATTGTCAACTCCAATTGGTGCAGCTGCTGATTTTGATGAGGTTTGCATTCTCGTTTCCTTCTTTTATCCCTTCGATGATTGGTTTTTTTTATTTATGAAAACGATAGTATCAATGATTGGTTTTTTTATTTATGAAAAGGATAGTATCAATGATTGGTTTTTTAAAGGATATGTTTTTGTTAGCCCTCGTGGTTTACCCATGGGATGTGTTTTTTTTTTTTTTTTTTTTTTTTTTTTTTTTCTGTTACTTTTATATGTATTCTATTGAGTTTGCATACAGCTACTTAGAAGTTTATACAATTTTATTTGCAGGATGAATTGGAAGCAGAACTTGAAGAGCTGGAAGGTGCCGAATTGGAAGAACAACTTCTTCAGCCAGCAACACAAGCTCCTGCAGCTCCAGTGCAGGTCCCAGCTGGAAGGCAACCAACTCGTCCTGCTCCCCAAAGGCGAACTGAAGAAGAAGATGAATTGGCTGCTTTGCAGGCTGAGATGGCGCTTTAAGCAGCGGCAGGTCTGTGGGTCAGTTTCAGTACAAAGTTCCGCTCATATGCAGTTGTATTGTTTTCGTGTTTGAGAGTTGATTTTGTTGGTTACAGTGTTTGCAGGTATTCATTCTTATGAGTCAAGGCTATGTAAAGGATTGGTCTGATTCTACAAACAGTGGAGATTTCTGTTCCGATCACGCATCGTGAGTTTCTGTGTGGCTTCTTCATTATTAAAGAGAATGTATATAAAGGTGGCATAAATTCAAACAGAGTCCCCTTTGAAACATGTATTCTGCTTTTCTCAGATTTTTCTCTTTCTTCCTTTTTCTTTCTTTTAAGTTTACTTTTTGAACATTTGTTCAATGTTGTTCTGTCATCAGGCCTTAATCAAATAGCTTGTTTAATTATTATGTGATACTGTTACCCGGTCAATAATAAGAATATTCTCTTGGAGCCTATAATAGAGAGAGGATCCTTGCCGGATCCTCTTTGTGAGGATCTTGGAAATCCTCCCAGTCACATCTGTTCATTGTAGATCGTACGGTTAGTTTTTGTCAAGTACTGTTTATATTCAATTTTAAATAGAAAAATTTATAATAATTTATGATCGCACAATATATGATGAACGGATGTGATTGCAGGATCCTCATAAAGAGATCCGGCGAGGATCCTCCTAGCCTATAATACTCTCTTTTTGGACTTGGCCGGAGCTAATTTTAGGTTAGTGTTCCGGGTTCTTGACCACCGGTTGACCCGAGTCAATGATGGGAAGGTAGACCCGAGTCAATGATCGGAAGGGAAAAAAATGCAAAAATTTCACGCTCCCCCGGGTTTGGTGAAGAAAAAGAGGCATTGATTTTAATTAATTTCTTTTTGTAGATGTATAATTAGATTTAAAAATCAAACCGGGAAGGACACTAACTCTACACGTTTGATTCACATGAATGATTAGTTTGATACTTAATTATTAGGAAGTTTTAACGAAAAGTTCACGGTATTGTTTACTTTAACGAAAAATCATATTTTTACACTAAAAAGGCAATTCTGGTATTATTCACTTTAGCCTTTATTTTGTCCTTATTATTTAAACTCAAAGTTTTCAAGTTTTTTTCATTAGTTTTTCTTAATTATTATAGTTAATAGTTGATATCGTACATTTTATAATTTTACACTTTTTCTAATAGAAAAGTGTACGGGAAGTAAATAGAAAAGTGTATTGGAAGTAAATGGTTTTTTTTTTGTTAACGTGGCTTAACCATTCAAGTAGGTAGGGAGGGAAAAGGAGACAGGTTAGAAGGAAAGAGAATTCTTCTCCTTTCATTTTTCTATAAGGTTTGATGCGGAGTGCAAGCAGTCGGATTTGGTGGGTAGTTCTTGGTACGAACTCAAATCGAGCACGAACGAAGAGTTGGAGGAGGACTGAGTGTCCTCACTGTGTCTCCAAGCATGGAATACCACATTCGAAGCTAAGAAATACAAAGCGCAAGTGGTATGTTGCTTTCCCACACCACACGCAGTAAGTAATTGGTCCACAAGCAGCGGTAAACACGTTGTCTAGTTGTGGTCCTGAATTCTAAACTCCCAAAGAAAAAGGGTGCTCCCACATCTTCGCTATTGATGACATTAACTTTGATTTTGATAAAGGGTTTTGTATTAACTCTTGGTTATTTAGTGTTGAGAATGGTAGTTGAGGTTTGAAATTTTAATCAACGTGTCATCTGAATTATATCCTTATAAATCACGAGTTTCGTGGATTCATAAGAATTTATTTCTGGTTACAAGTAAAACTCTCCCTTCCCTTCTCGTGAATTGATTAAAAATTGCCCATGAGTTCAATTTAATAATTACGAAAAAAATGGTAGTTGAGGTTTGAAATTTTAATCATCGTGAGGACATTCTCCCCTTCTGCTTGAGAGATCCTCTCGTGTCATCTGAATTATATCCTTACAAATCAAGAGTTTCATGGATTCATAAGAATTTATTTCCGGTTACAAGTAAAACTCTCCCTTCCTTCTCGTGAATTGATTAAAAATTGCCCATGAGTTCACTTTAATAATTTCAATAATTACGAAAAAAAATGAGAGAGAGAGAGAGATAAGGTGAATAGAGGATAAGAGAAGAAAAAAGAATGTATCTTGAAATTGAAAAGAAATAGGGATTTTGATAAAAATGGTAATAACAAATGAACAAGAACATAGCTTTAGGTAGCTAGCAAAAGCCTAGCAACAAGAAGATGTAACAACAATGCACTTCACATGTTTCTTGAAGAATTAATCCCTCTCTATAAAATCATGGATGGATCTTAATTTCTCCAAAAATTGCGAATCATTAGTGAATAATGTAGGTGAGGAGCAATGCCAATACCATCAACCCATAAGCAATTCCTTGATCCACCGCCACCCCTGCATACCAAAACACAACAATCATCCACCGCACGATATAAACACAAACCAAGCGCGGGTTAAGCCAGTTGGTTAGCGTTAACACCCACATTTGAACAGAAAATTTAAACTACCGCATCCAGAAATCATTTCCGCACACATTTTCTCTCTCTTTCTGCAAGCCTCTTTATTTTCTGCCATTATCCAAATGGCTGGAAAAAGAGAGTGCGGAAAGAAAAAACCGTGTGCGGAAATCGTTTCTCTACGGCATCTTCAAGAGAGAGGGGGAGAAACTAACCATCACTTGTAGGGGCAGGAGCAGGAGCGAGGCTTTGAGCATTGATGGAAGGGAGAAGCAGAGAGATAACAAGGGCAAAAACTGCCATCACAAAGAATTCAACCTTCAAAATCTCCATTTTCTTTTCTTTTCCTTTCAAAAAGCTGTAAAATTTTCTCACTTCCCAAACAGCTTTCTCTCTCTTGCCCCCCCAATCGGCCCCAATGGGATTTCTCTTCTCCAGAACAAATGTTGTGCCAAATGAGGGTGGCTTTCAACCTCTCAGTTTTCGATTTATATAAACAGGAGGACTCGTACGACAAACCCTAACAGCCTAAAACGACAGTCGGACTAGGAGAATCTTTCCACAAAGGAAACGGCCACTCTGGCTTATAATTGCTGCTAACGAGGAACCCATTCTCTCATTTCATTGGCTCTCAGCTTCCCACCCCAAATCCTATGCTCTTGACCGTGCCACGTGGACGGCCGAGATTGGGTGCACGTTAAAACTACAGGTAATGCCGAGCTGTGGATATGTGGGCCTCCACCATTGAGTTGGGACTCCCTTCTTGTGCGTACTTCCCACATGCAACTCAATCTTTAATTTATATGTAGACTCCGCTAGTATGTTATTATTCGAATTTTTTAGCATGTTCCGGGATATTTGGGTAAATATCAGTTTATTATCTTTATGTTTTATGGTTTTCAACATTTAATATATCAAGGTTTTTTCGTCTTAGAGTCATACTTAAAGTGTAAATTTGAGGACAGTCTCATACATCCGTTAGTCAAACTCTTAAGTCTTCCGTTAACTGATGACGTGGTGCCTATGTGAACAATAACTGGACGCCACGTGTCAATAGGAACTCACTTGAATATTAAAAAAAATTAAAATTTAAAAAAAAAAAAAAAAAGAACCCTCCCATTTTACACCTTCAACACCTTGACCACCATATCACTTATGTTTTTATGAAAATATGCTAAAATATTTATATATATGGTTTTGGGGATTTATCATTTGATGACAACTCTTCACAATACACTTACTCTACACATAGAGATGATGAAGATAGTGAAAATTTTGAACCTCATAGGAACTCTATGTAGTACTAAGTCACTCATGCATCTTACCATGCAATGTATAAAGTGTAAAATATTGTACTAATTCATTATATATAAATGATTATGGTGTGTTTAAACTTCTTTCATTAATTACTACATATTTTCTACACTCACAATGTTTGCCAGCTCGCTATATTATCAACTTAAATCAGTTAAATCCATCATGCAATGCATTTCCTTCCAATTTTTTGTGATAAACTAATAGATAATTGACTAAATAAACATCCTACAAAGTTTCAATAAAAATTTCCAAGTTTTTCTTACAATTTCCATGGTTTTTATTTAATTTTTATCGATATCGATAATATCCCAATATTTCCATCGAAATTTCCGTGTTTTTGGACTACCGATATTTCCGATATCATCGATATTTTAGACCTTGCTACTGAGAAGCAATCAAAAATCAAAACAATAAAATTCAAAACTTTCCTACAAAAGGAAATTTCCCGAAAATCAAATCTTACGAAATCAGTACTTCCGAAACACGAGAAGGAAGAGGAACTCAACTAACCCTAGCTTCCGTACTGTAATCACACTCAAAGATAATCAGAGATGGAAGACCAACACCAAAATCAAACCCGAAAAGATAATTGAAGTTGGAGGACGGGAAATTAGATCAGCAAGACAGAGAAATAAAGGTCAAACCTGAGGAGGAGATAAGAGGCCAAGGTGGTAGAGAGAATGCTGTTGGAGAAGAGCTTGCTGCATCAAAGCTTGTTGTTGCTGCTACTGCTTCAGCCTCTGATGCTACATTTCCTCTATGATTCTTCGAGAAAGTAAGGGTTTTGCCGAGAAATTTAAGGGTTAGGGTTTGAGCAGAGGGCTTTAGAGAGAGAAGAAAAATTATGGGTCTCGGGTTTGCGAAATAGTTGGACGAAAACAGAAAATGGCATTGACTCCAAGGTTGGGGGAGATTCTGGTCTCGCAGGGCTTGGGGACAGGTCGACTGTGGATCGCCAACGACGAGGGTTGGGGTGCAGGAGAAGGAGGAGGAAGAAGAAGGTGGGGTTAGGAGAGGAATGGTGGAAGAGGTGGTGGTGTGGAGAGGAATGGTAAAGGTGTTGCGGGTTGCAGAGGAGAGATGGAAGGGAGGAGGTGCGGGTTGCAGAGGAAGGAAGGGAGGGAGGGGGAGGTAGGAGACGCTTGGGGGGGGGGGGGGGATTTTTTGTGTTTTTTTTTTTTTTTTTTTTTTTAAATTTATTTGTTGTATTTTGTATTTTTAAAATTTAAAATTTTTTTAATATTCAAGTGGGCTCCTATTGACACGTGGCGCCCGATCATTGTCTACATGGGCGTCATGTCATCAGTTTACGGGAGACTTAACAGTTTGACTAACGAATGTATGAGACTATCCCAAAATTTACACTTTAGGTATGACTCTGGAACAAAAAAAACTTGATATACTAAATGTTGAAAACCACAAAACATGAGAGTAGTAAACTGATATTTACCTAGGATATTTTATGGGAATTATTATTGGCACTCCAAAAATCTCATTCTACGTTCCAAACTTTCTATGTTTGAAAAGAAAAATACACTTGTGAGGAGTGTAGAATAAAATTTTTAAAGTGCCAATAACACTTCCCAATTTTATACTCAATTTATGATTGTTAGAATTTTTTTTTTTATTTTTATCAATGATATAATGATAAAGTTCTAACAACTAAAAATTTACACTGAAATATTATTGTTAAAAGATACTAAATAAATTACGTTTTTTAAATTACATGTTAATTATTTCTCTAATAAAAGTAACATCCACCAATACAATTAGATCTGACTTCTATTTGATAGATAATTCTCATGTGGTCCACAAACTACAAAGTATGATGTCCCTAACATTTTTCTTTTGTCGTCTATTATTTTTTGAATTTTTTTGTGGATAAATAATTTGAAATATTGTAGGAAATGATGGAGCCGTTGGCGTGTTTAATAGACACATCATCAAACAAGGTAACTGACACAGATCCAACTTGGCAAGCAACAATTATTCAGTTTGTGTTGGGTTTCGGAGCATGCGTCGGAGAGAACAAACAGATTTGAATTTCGAACCGTTTGGTTTTATGATTTTGTACAGACAATGAAAGGTCAGAATGTTCTTTCATCGATTCAAATCTGTTTGGTTAATTAATTTGATCCACCTGTACATAACAACCACGTGCTACATACTTAAGAGCGTATTTATACGTTGAACAATTAGTGGAAATTTGGCTTACATGTTTGTACGTTGAACAATTGACACAAGGTTCACCCTTAAACCCTATACCAAAATGTATTGCCTTCTATAGAAATAAACATCAGAATACATATACAAGTCAAATATACTAATATGAAATGGTTCTTAGCAAAACTTGGAATAATGTTTTATAACGTTGCCTCAGGAATTTGACATTAAACTATGAAGTGGCAGAGAGTCATTCTTTGAGAGTCTCCTTAGCATTTCTCATATACGAGAATATTTAACAAAGTAAATCAATATGCTTCTGTGTTTGTACGATCTGTTTAGTCTCGATTTTTCAACTGGATAGAGCAGTAGTTGTTGAAAATAGACATCATAGAGCAATACTAATCACCAGCTGAGCTCAGAGGAACCGGTGCCATCTCCAGATAGTCAAAATCCTCCGTTATTCCAATCTGCATTTGCAATTAGAAATACGAATACGAAATGAAACAGATAAACTTGGAAACAAGATAGCGAGATTGCAAGATTAAAATGGAGCGTGTTTTTTCAGCTGACATACAAACAACAAGACAACCTCAGCATGGCAAACTCATGAGTTCAAAACAAAAAAAAAGCATGCTCTCTACTCTGTTAAATCTAAATTACCTCGTTGTACAAGTTTTCGAGCTGCTCTTTGGCCTGTGGGAAATTATTTGCACACCATTGACGCACTGTGAAGATGTTGTCTGTTCAGCAATGAAACACAGTTATTAAATCTCCAAATTCTCTATGGCCTGCGGAAAGTTATTTCAAAAGAGGATCGAACAACATGTGAAGGTAAAACCTGTCCATCGATTAGCTGCTGAGTGGGCAACTTCAATTTCTTTCTCTGCAAACACAATTATAAATACGGTCAGTTCTATGGTGTTAAAGGCTGACATTCTACTATTGTTGAAATGTCAACTAACTCATCGCTTCGAAGGCAGCTGGATCATTGTCGGCGTACTGCGCCACCTCATCCTGAAAACAACAATAGACTACAGTCAGCAATTTGATCAAATCATTTATACTGTCTAAGCAATTAGTGCATCAGAAATGTGCAGGACGTATATAATCCTACCTTCAGCTCATTATGCTTTAGCTCTATGGCTTTCAGTTCAGCTAAGGCCTCATCTCGCTCGTCCTAGTAAAAACTTGAGACTTAGATGCGTGATGATAACCACACAGAACATACTTGCAAAGTAGAAAATAGTTCAAGCCTTTGGAAGAAATGTAACTTAGAAACACTCACAGAATCCTCTCGTCCCTTCTTTAGTGCATTACACTGGTCAATGAGTTCTGCATGACGCTTCTTACTGCTTTTGAGATCCGACTCAAGCCTGCTATACACATTCCTAAGCTGCCCACCACCCAAACATGTTACCACGGATTTACTCATCAAAATTCGGAAAAATATCCTACTCTGTACAAGCAAGGTTAAAATGTAAAACCATCATAGATTCACCTGATTTCCAGCAGTGCTAGGAAGACTCCAAAAATACACCTGACATTTCGAAACAATATGCTTTACGAACTGCCAAAGATAAACAAGCATTTGCAATTTTCTTCAACAAAATACGATCCGGAAGGATATACACCTAAACATCTACTTACAGAGGTTCCTATCTTGTCTTTGAAAACAAGATCATCATCCACTAAACTCTGAATCACATCTTTCACAGACTGAGAGATTACACCTTTCTTTGGCCCTGACTTCTCAAGCTCCTTTAGCTGAAAAATCATCAAACAAAACACGCAAAAAATAACCGTAAAATTTAATCTGAAACGATCAACACCGTTCCCAATCACAGCGAAATTCATACCAGAAAATTGGAAAATGATCCCATTTAGAATCACAGAAATCAACTAAAATAGGATTCGCAAAATCAAAATAGTTCAAATAACGATGAATTCATTAAAATTAACACTCACAAGGAAGAAATCTTGAGAATCGTAGAAGATCTGAAGCATCTTCTCACGCTTCTCGTCCAACGAAAGACCTCGTTTCTTCGACTGTACAGCATTCAAAGAATCGCCACCAAATTTCAAAAAATCAGAGAGACGAAAAATAGCAACGTATTTACACTGACGCACTTCGTTCTATGCTGTAAAATTTCGTTATGCTGTAAAATTAATTAACTGGAGTAATTAATTCGAAATTAAACTGAAAATTTACACAGATTCTAGCTCTTTCGCGCTTTTTCTCAGTAACCAAACGGGGCATAAGATTTGAAATGAAAATTGAGAGATCTGATGGTGTTGATAGCGCAGTGGAAATTGAATGGGGAAAATTAGGATTTGGAGAGAGGGATTTACCATTGGAGGCGAGATTTGGAAGACGGATTGCGGAGGAAGCTACTGGAAACGAAGCGTCTGGTTTGGCGGGAAAAACTTGTATCCGCCGCGGCAGCACAGTAGGTTGTAGCACCCAGCTTATGCTCGAATGAAATGACTATAGTGTCCTTTTATATGAAGCGGCTAGTTTGTTCAAGCGACGTGCCGTTTGAATGTGAAGAGCAACGCATGCGTTGATATTGTCGTTCTTTCGTGACATCTATCCAAAAATAAAATACTAAAAAATTTAAAACTAACCATTGGTTCAAATCAAGTTTAATGGTTATGAATAAGTCATCAACAAAATTTCTGGAATTGGAATGTCACATAATTTTTATCCTCATATTTATGTTTACTTATCAGATTCATTACACGAATAAACACTTGTGTTAAGATTTATTAGAAAACTACACATTATTTTAAGTTCGAGACTTGTTTATTGAAACAATTTTTTACCATATAAGCCTTGTGATGCCATCAACCTTTTATTTTTTTTAAACCAATTCTTTTTTTTTTTCTTTTTTTTTTTTGTCAATTCATATAAAACAAGATATATGCAATCTAGAGGAAGATCCAATTATGTTGAAAGAAAAATCTCATAGTAATAGTTTTGAGCTAGCCATAAGCCATGACGTTAAATTTTCGTTCAAATCTAATGTGTTAGTCTTTTTTTACTAAAGCTCGTAAACAACCTCTATTCTTCTAATTAATTATACTTGTAACTTTTTTTTTCCTAATTCTTTCATTTGGCTTAAAGATCCATCCTGTGATGGATTTATGGCTCCACCATTGGTTGAGTCCTTATGGAATGGTCAAAATCGATCATCAATGATAACCCTACACATTTCCATTCTCAATCATCTCATTTACCCATATAAAAGGCACAATCGTGGTGAAACCAAGTAAGAACGAGTGAAAGTTATTGTCTATGTTTTCCTGGAGTATAGATGTCATGGGAGCAAAGTGTTTGCCAAAAGTCCTCAAACCGAATAAAGGCATAACAAGAGTCAACAAAGTGGCATGGACTTGGGCTGGTGGGAAGGAATGAAATTCTAGACTCTACGAAGAAAACTTTCAGAATCCGCTACTGATATGCACATTACAAAAACCCCGAAAGAAGGAAAATCCGATCAAGGAAAAATAGTACACAACATCCAACACGCAGTTAACTCATAGGTTCATTACATAAATATCATGATCAATTAACAATGACAACAACAACCAGAATTCTCTCTTAGAGCAACATGGACAAGTTCATTAGCCACACCAGCTCTCGGGCACAGGATTTGTCTTCCTCCAACGGATCATGTCCCTCCTACTCAAACCTCCTCCCGATCCACAAGCGAAACGACGAATAACTTCCTATGCAACTTGAAGCAAGTAATCTCGCACAACTCTTGGCAAGTACTCCCCAATGCACATCATTCTCTTCCGAGATGGAAATCATGTATCCAACTGTGGTAGATCGTTCGTAGGTATCGAATAAAAGAATCTGGGCCGGTGATCCTTGTGGACCTAAGAATTTCTCTTTGGAAGGTCTAATGCAACTACTGCACTTCGCTTCCTCCGTTTTCGTCCCTGTGAGTCCTTTAACCAACGGAAATAAACACCAGAATTAAATTGGCCAAACGCTATAACACCTGAATCAGGCCAAACGGCTACAACACACGAATCATTTTGATATTGAAGCCTTTAAAATATTATGGTCTAATTGGATTAATAGTCCTGTGGTGGTGATAGGGTAGTTAGAAGATAGTCCTTGTGGTAAAAAAACTAGAATTTAAACTTATGTGGTGAAGTTTGTTAGAATTTAGGCCCAAAATTGAAAATTCTGTCAACTATCTATTAATTATTAACACATGAGCCACACATAGTAAGCTAAAATGGAACTCTCTGTTAATTGTTAGCACGTGGGGATTACATGTGAGGCTAACTTTATGTTTTTAGTTTCATATGTGAGCCTCATGTGCTAACAATTAACGGAGAGTTGACGGAATTTTCACTAAATCTAAACTGACTTCACCACAAGGGCTTAAATCCTTTTTTATTTTTTTATTTTTTTAACACAATGGTTATTTTCCAACTACCGTATCACCATAGAGACTATTAATCTACTTAAGCCAAATATCATTATGAAACACTAATTGTTTTACTTTTAAAGCCAACGATTCTTATTTTAAAGGGTAATGTTAGAGAGACTTAATTTGTGGATAAAATTTTATAAACTAAATGACATGAAAGTTGATGATTGAATTATCACTTAACGGTTGATAAACGTGCTCATTCTTATTGGTGACACATCATTTAGTTTACAGATTTTGTCTACAAATTTAGTTTTCTAGCATTACCCATTCTTAAAACTCAAATGTCTTTCAAAAAGCACACAAAATTTTTAGGAAAGAAGATCCTTGCCGGATTCTCTTTGTGAGGATTTCAGGATTCTCCAATTACATCTGTTCATTGTACATCGTACAATTAGTTTTTTTCAGATATTATATATATTCAATTTTAAACAAAAAAATTAAAATAATTTCTAACTGCATAATATACGATAAATAAATGTGATTTGAGATACTAAAAAAAAGATCGGTGAGGATCGGCGAGTATCCTACTCCATTTTTAGGAGCGCTAAGTTTGGTTCAGACTGATACAAAGCCCAAGACCAAAAAAATATAAAACCCCAGTTAGGGTTTTACATCAACCCCCGCCGCACCTCTTCCTCTGTCGTCTCTCTGCAAATCGCAACCCGTAGAGGGACTGTATGAGCTCAGCAATGGCGGCAAAAGCAAGGAACCCGAGAAAGACCCGAAACCCAGATCTCGTTCGCGGGGTGGGTAAGTTCTCAAGGTCCAAAATGTACCACAAACGTGGTCTTTGGGCTATCAAGGACAAAAACGGCGGCGTTTTCCCTCGCCACGACGCGAAGCCGGCGGCAGAGATCCAGCCTGAGAAGCCGCCCAAATTCTACCCCGCCGACGACGTCAAGAAACCTCTCGTCAACAAACGCAAACCGAAGCCCACCAAGCTCAGGTTCTCTTTTTCTCTACTCTCTCAAATTTTAATCATTTTTCAAATTAGAATCATTGGGTTTTTAATAATTTTTAGATAATTGTTGTTGAAATTAGAAACTAGAAAATGGGTTCTTAATGTTTTATTTCTTTGGTTGAAACTTGGATGTAGGGCTAGTATTACACCAGGGACGGTGCTGATTATATTGGCTGGAAGGTTTAAAGGAAAGAGAGTTGTTTTTCTTAAGCAGCTTTCTTCTGGGCTCCTGCTTGTTACCGGTGAGATTTGAATTTTTTGTTTGTTTTAGCTGAATTGTCTCGAATTTCGAATTAATGTTAAAAATTTCATGTTACCGGGATAATTTAATAATGTTTAATTTAGGCTTATAATTACCTAAGAACTTTCGTCGTGAACTCCCGCCAAATGCCAATAACCTTGTTTCGTAGCGGCACCAGTAGAAGTTGGTGCAAAAATGGAAGGGTCATTTTGTTTTAAGTTATTGCAAAAATGGGATTGCTCTCCTGCTGTTGGATGGGATAATTTGCAAGGTGGGGTTTGCTTTGAGTGGGGTATATTCAAATAGAGTTGGTGAGTGAGTACTCCAATGCTAATGTTTTTCTTCCGAAAGTGTATGGAAGGATGAAATTGATCATGCGAAGCAATGATTGATGACATGAAAGAGTAACATTTGGTGGAAAGAGAGGTACAGACATTGCGGGAATTTCACTTCTGTAACAGCATAGATAGTGTATCAACTTGTGAAGTGTCATCTAGTAATCTACATTCTTGCTTTCTCTAATTTATCCAGACGTTTTTTTTCTCTCGAGGATATGATCTCTGTTCCTTGCATTATTTTAATCGTGATTGTTATGCGGACATATAGATATAGTTAGAATTTATGAATTAGCTTTTATGCCTTCAACTTTCATAGACGTAGGTTTTCCATTGCCTGCTTCTTGAAAAAACTTGTTGATTGCCATTCTAACTTTATTACTGGTATTTATGCCATTGCAGGTCCCTTTAAAATTAATGGTGTGCCCTTGAGACGTGTTAATCAGTCTTACGTGATTGCCACTTCTACCAAGGTTGACATTTCTGGGTTGAATGTTGAAAAGTTCGATGATAAATACTTTGCTAAGGAAGTTGAAAAGAAGAAGAAGAAGGGAGAGGGCGAATTTTTTGAGACCGAGAAAGAGGTTAGAATTATCATCCTTTTCATTTACATATACTTTTGAGCTAAAGCTCTATTGTTCTCGTGATTCTCTTCTCTTTCGTTGTTGGCACTGCCTGCGTGGACTTTCAAAGTTCAATGTGGCAATGTGATCATTGTCTTCCGATTTTGCTGGTATTTTTCTTATACAGATTTTCTAATCCTTTTTAGTTGCCCTTTTAAGTGTACCTATCCATCTCTTTTCTACTAGCTTGATCTCTTCTTCTACATGTTAATGGCAAGTGTGCAAGTTATTGGAGAATTACATTCACTGTGCCAGCTTCTGATGGAAAATTTTCGCTTTCTCACTACTAATTAATATTTTCCCGAACAACAAACTGTAGGAGAAGAATGTGCTGCCGCAAGGAAAGAAAGACGATCAGAAGAGTGTGGATGCTTCATTGATAAAGTCCATTGAGGCTGTCCCAGACTTGAAGACGTACTTGGCGGCTAGATTCTCTCTCAAGGCTGGCATGAAGCCTCATGAGCTTGTCTTTTAGACCATTATCCTTGGGATAATTTTCTGCTCTTCAGCTTGTTTTTTCGCTTAAGATTATCTGCGAACTCGGAATTTTCATTCGGAATTTTCATTTTGCCGGTGTATTCAAATTTATACTCATTCTGGTTTGGTTTTGATTACTACTGCTTTCGGCACGTAGAAAATACCAAGTGAAATTCATATGAAATGAACAGGGGATTATTCGAAATCAGCAAATTTAGTATGTTATTCGAAGTCAACAAAACAACCGGCAGTGGATGCGGTCGATGCAGTACAGTAGAGCGACGAAATCCTCCCTCTGTCGACCCTCCCTGACAATAAATCCCAGTAACGACCCAAAATTTTTGCTTCTGCAAGAATGCTCTCTGCCTGCAATGCAAATGCAACACTCTCTATCACAAAGTTCTTAATCTTAGTACTTGCGATGTCAATGTGTCACTATCGCATGTCAGTAACACGCGTTGTTCTATGAGAAAATTCAAATGCAAGACGGTGCATTTGAGATAAACTAGCAGAGATTTTGTTTCTTTATCTCAAGTCTGGCAGAAAGTTAAAACTCAAAGCAGTGTATGATCTAACTTGTGATATCGGCACAATATTAACTTTGTAGGTTAGTTTATCTCGTACTTGTGGTGCTTGCTGCTGTCACTACTGGCTAAAACTTGAAATGTGTCTTTCCATTATATATTAGTGTTTGGACCCAAAATTACATTATCGGCCTAAACGGTCGAGGCCATTGAATGACTAGAGTTCTAGACCTTCGTGGAGTTGTTAAGGTAATTTCTTATCATTATTGAGGGATAATATTGTCGTTTTAATCATAATTATTATCTCTTAATAGTATATTAAATTATTTTAACTTAATATTAGTCGGTTTGAACGAAATGGAATAATGGGCATATGCCTTGGTCTTATTCATGTATTGCTTTGGCCATGTGGGGTAATGCATCATTAGGAGATTGATTTGATAGAATCTGGCAATGCCGTGTGGAATGATACGACTGCAATTTACAAGTTTTCTTGAGTGTGTGCACAAACATTTATTTACAAGTTATTAAGTGCACAAACAATCATTAGGAGACTGAAATCTGTTATCAGGTTGTTACGAAGGAACACAAGGACTTTTTGGATGATGGTGATGACAAGATGGCAACAATCAGATAATTAACCTTTGGTTTTTTATGCTAAAAGATTTAGCATATTGGCATATGCTTTTATAGTGTGAGTCAGCATGAAGACCTTTATGAAGCTAGATTCACTCAGCATGAATATTGGGAAGCCGTGCAGCCATGCATGCCACGAATTGTGTTGATAAGGATTGCTCAATATGATCATCAAACAGTGGTTGATTATCCTTTTAGTATCAAGACGTGATTTGTTGTTCACGGCAAAGGCTCTACAAGGCAGCCATCATGTGGTTCAGTATTATAAATACAAAGATGCACACAATGTAAGAGCCCCTTCCAATTCAACACACAAACTGCCCTGTGCAAACTCTCACTCTACGCGAAACCTCTCAACAACCTTGAGATTTTTATTTTCTTTTTCCAATCGACACATCTTCAGTTTGAATAAACAGCACTATGAAGGCAATCGGCGACATCTTCAGTTTGGATAAATAGCACTGGAATCGTAGAGTCAGCCGATCAAGGAGCACCTTCAGTTTGGATAAACAACACTACTTCTCGGCCGACTGATTACCAATCCAAGTCTCAGTCGACAAGGATTTTTGAGTCCTTGTTGGTAGAGGTCATCTCATCGGCCTTTTCGGCGAAGTGAGGTGTTACCAGGTTACTACATTCGGCACATTGAAAGCCGAATCTGATATTGAATTTCGCAAAACTAGTAGCCATGTCTTTAGGCTCTAGAACCCGAAGGCCGAGACGTGTTCCTTCCTCAGCTGTAGTCGCAAGATCAAGAAGTCAGCAGTGCGCCCAACGCAACATCAACACATTCTTCTCCTTGGCCGAGCTTGGCCGACAAGTTGGCACACCCCGCATACAACCAAATGACGTAATTAGCTTATTAATTACTCGACTTGCGTGCCACATAGACTTGGTAGTTTTTAAGGTCAACAATCAGAAAAGCTCAAAAATGACACGGTCATGGAAATGAGATTTGCTTGTTCAAAGTGATCACACAATTTCTTCGGGACCAAAATTTCAAACCATTTGAATGCAAGTAGAGAAAAATAAGCCACCAGTTCTGATTTCTTCTCTGCTGAGTTCAAGCAACCATGCTGGGATTAGCCGACCAATGAACCGGAAAGTATTTCAAAGGCAGGTACCGGTCTGGAAAGCATTTCACTATGTTTGGATGAGAGAAATAAACTTGGAATTTGGGTAAAAATCAAAATTTATAAATTGACATGCACCAATTCCCTTGTTTAGATTCATAAACATTGAAATTTAGAATTTCTGCGTGAAAAAAAACTTGGAATTTGGGACCTCAAATTCTCAAGTTTAAATTCCATGTAAATCGGTGTTATTTCCCAATTTCTATGATTGAGAATTTAAAAATAATAAATTCCGTATTCAATTTCATTGTTCTTTTAGGTTTACCAAACAAGAAAATTCACAAATTCTAGAAAATAAAATATTAGCATTTCAATTTCTGTCATTTTAAAATTTCTTAGTAATCTTATATTTCTTCATTCAAACATAGGTTAGAGACAGTAATGTCATGCACCACTTCCACCTCCCAAACATAGAGCCACCAAGGGTTTAGTGTTGTGCCAACTAACGCAACGTATGGAAATGAAGGCGTCGAAGCATCAAGAACTCCAGGCTCAAATGAAGAAACTCGTGTCCGATTGCACCATACCATAGTTCACCTAGAGTGATTTCCAGACATACAGATTCCACAAATGCAGGTTCCATGACAGCACCATTTGCTAGGTAGCTAGTTAGGCGTTACCTTTGCTGGGTGCTACGCTATTACGCTATTCTTTGAAATTCTTGGTTTTTTTTTTTAAGTACATAGTTAAGCTTTTTTATTCATTTTTTCGCTCATTTGGCACCAAAGTCTTGTATTCAGTTCAAGCGGTTAAGAGCATGCCGACATTTTACATTAAATTCCTCACTCCGCCAATATTGATTGTTTGTATAAAAAATTAAAATAAAATAAAATAAAAAACAAGAAAGAAAGACCAGCTTACTGTGAGAACCAAATAAGTTTTTCAACATGGAAGAAAAAGAGAAAAAGAAAAGGAAGTATGATGGTAGAGTTGAATGAAAACAGATCAATAATTCATCAGTCATGAAATTTCATGGAAGGAGAGGGAAAAGTAAATAGAGAGTACGAAGTTTACAAGGGCCACTTAGTCAGAGAAAGAAATGCATGGTAAATTAGTCAATAATCAGATGGAAACATTTCTTCGCTTTGACTTGGCTAATTTTAGAGACTTTTAAGGTGCTCCGGCGTATTCGACACCCTAAATATTTTAATTTTTAAATTTATGTTTCAAAAATAAAATTTAAGATTTAACAGTTAAAACATATGGAGTATCGAATATCCCAAAGAACGCACACGAATTTTTACGTAGACTAGCTGCACAATGCAACTGTCGTGACTATGACTAGTCAGAAAAAAACAAAATATTGCTGGCTGCATATACTATGCATGTCACAAGATTTCCACAACATATTAGTACAAAATAAGACTACAACAACACATGATTAGTCGATAAACTTCGTGCATAATTCCATCATCCAAATTATTTGGTCTTAATTACCTTACAGAAAACCAATACCTTAGCTAGTAAATAACATAGCCGCATCCCACTATTTTCGTGTTAGTCAATGAAAATTAATAACCAAAGCCATCCAGAAGATCATCATTAGGAGGCTCAAATCCAAAGGGCATAAGAACCCCACTGACATTATCGACACCTTCATTGCCAGACCAGATGCTGTAATTGTTCTCCAAACCCAAACCAGATGAAGTTGGAAGGCTTGAAACTTCTTGAGATGGTGAAATAATGCTGAAACTCTTGCCTTCTCTAGTCTCAAAGCCATTAACTTCCATAGGATTTGAAGGAGAAATTTGAGTGCAGGGATCAAAACTTTGCCCCGAGCTTACATCCTTTAGATATGGCAATGTCCCATCAAAACAAGATGGTGTTCCCTGGTCATGTAGGGTTTCAGTTTTCGGAATCGAATCCGAAAACTGTGACAAGTTGGTATCAACGGTGTTCATGTTGTTTGTTGCCAAGAGTTTTTTCTTCAATTTGGTGTTCCAATAGTTTTTAATATCATTGTCAGTTCTTCCTGGAAGTTGAGAAGCTATAATAGACCACCTAAATCCCACAACACAAAAGCATAAATTACATATACACGTTGACAAATATATACAAAATAGATTGAAATATGCACAAGTGGAACTCGTTAACAAAATTTAACCAAAAAGATAATTGGGGACACCAAACGAACAATTTGCCGGCTATAAAAAAGTTTGTAATTGGCTTTGTTTGTCATATATCCGAAAATTAAACTAAGATATTTATGTACATATATATTATGGTTATTGACTTGCCTACTTCCAATGGTACCATAGAGAGTGCAAATAACTTTGTCTTCTCCCTCAGTAAAACCTCCCCGCTTGATGTCAGGCCTAAGATAGTTCAGCCATCTCAAACGACAACTCTTACCGCAACGATTGAGGCCTTAAAACATAGAATTAAAATTTAATTAACCTCCATGAATAGCGTAAAACAGGATGGGTTAAAAATTAAGAAATTACTGTTGTGATCTAAACAACTCGTGATCAGTTAAATATAAAGGATGGGTTTTACCTGCTTTGGTCGGTAGAGCAATCCAGTTGCCACCACTGCCATGTTTGTGGAGGTAGTTCTTGAGGGTGGTGTCTTCTTCCGGTGACCAGGGTCCTTTCTTCACTCTGGATTTGTCACAGCATGGAGCTCTTCCCATGGCAGCCAACCACTCAAAACTGCACCAAAAGCTAGCTAGCGGAGGCGGAGGACCAGAGAGCCAGGACAACTAGCAAAAGCAAACAGTTGAGAATTTGACAGATGGATAATAAAAAGAGGTTTCGAAAGCTTGACTTTGTCTGACTGATACCGTATTCTTTTCATTTCTAATGAGAAAGAGAGACTGGTCAATGTTGGTGTTTGAGGAATCACGCAGGTTGCATGCATTTGTTGTTAATACACCAAATGGTAGCCAGTTGGCCAAGTTGCAAGTTGCCAATGACATATATGCATATGAAATTAAAATCGTTTTCCTTTTATAGACAAGGATATTATTCAAACAGAGATTTGACGTCAAACACATAATACGCAATTAGGTATCGAACTTATCCTTTTCGATCATACAAAGTACATCAAACTTACTATCTATATGAATTAAACATGATATCTCTCACTTAAAAATGTTTGTTTATATAGGCAAAATTGCACAAATTTCATGCATTTGTTGTCAAACAAATATAAGAGCCATTGCCAAATTGCCAATGACATAGAACATTATTCACTGCTTTGCTCCTCACACATAAGAGTCATTCTTCGTTACATATTATAATATGGCACATGCATACAAAAAGAATAACTCATTTAAATACAAAATGTAAAATGTGTACATATATCAAACTGTAGTTGGTCTCTAAAAGAATCTATCTAACTCTGTAAGGAGTAGTTGAGTATTTTTCCAACAACATACATAAAAGTTGAAATGGGGTTTTAATATGAAAATATGGTTGGCAATGGCATGAAACTAAATATTATGTGAATTACTCCCTAATTGAAATTTTTTAGGAGTCGTGTGCCATTTAGGAGAGGGGTGGGTTGAAATGCTTTTAACCTTTTTGAGCTCCACTGTGGATTAGTTTTACCCTTCGCGGGTGTGGGATACCTCAGGCTCCAGCAAAAAAGGGATGATGTGAAGTTCTATTGGATTAGTGAGACTCAAACTACACATTAAATGAGTCATTTAGTACTACGATCTAGTGATATTTCTCTTCTCTTGTAAGTTAGAGATCTTAAGTTCGATTTTCACCAAAAGTGAATTTGAATCATATTATTGCTAACCTATTGTGAGGTTAAACTAACCTCTCTCCATTCCTTTTAGTATAAGATAATCTCGTTTATTAAAATAAAATAAAATAAAAACTACACATGATTGGAGTCAAAAATAAGTTCAATTGGCATAATAGGTAGTTGGGCTTCCAGCCTTCCAATAAAATCCAACTCATTTGGCTCTAGCCTATGGGAAACTCTCCTCTCTTCCGGTCCAATTCTTCACCTTCATGATTTCAAGGTATAGCCCATGACATTGATGGAAAATATAGCCTCTTGAGGAACAAATAGCATGTTTCACTTCAACGATGCAAAAGTAGTCCAATTCTCCATCCAATCCGAAGTTCCAAATTATTCATGGTTAGAAAGAACAAGAGTCAAATATTGACCGGAACAAAAATTTATAGCTCTAGTGGTTAAGAGCATACATTCTGACTCAGTACCTACAACCAAAGTCTCGTGTTCAGTTCTCTCTTCTCCACCTTAGAAATAGGAACACAATAATTGATCAACACAACTAGCAATAAAATATGCAAATTGGATCCGGATTTGCAGCGATCTAAAGGCAAATAAGTGGTTACCACCTTTCATGTCATGCATGCGACTGTGCCCTTTGATCACATCTCATCCATATTTCATTATTTCTAAGTCACAACACCAAATTATCTTTACAATTTAGTCCATTCCATCACCATCATACTCATGTTTGCAGCATAAATTATATAAATTATAAATTACATATCGTCTGTCTCTAAAACACATTAGACTTGAAATATATTACTTGGTGTTGGATCATCCAAAAGTTTGGCTTTCGAAACCATCGGCGCACTATAGCGACTGCCAACTACTAACCCGATTAAACTAGTGACTTGGTTTGACGATAACCTCAACTTGCTGGGATATCAGACTACATAATTACTCAATTTCCTGCTCCTCTTCCTCCCATGCTCATTGACAATAACAAACACCAACAATATTACTTTAACATGTATTCGCTTTGTCTCGCCTTAAAAATGGACCCCATTTCAATATTTTCTTTGATAATGTAGATTTCAGTGGACTTATGCTGATATTGACAACGAAGAATTTAAAATGATTTTTCGTACTCATTTTATCATTATCCTTTAGCATTTTAATAATACAATTTAACGAAGAATTAAGAGATAAATAAAAGAAGACGGCATAAGAGCAAAGGATGGAAATTACTATGCTAAGAGTGGCATAAATTAATTGTCACGGTACACTTATACGGATTGGTCGTAGTTACTCATGTTTATGGCATTTACAAAGCCACCGGGAGAGGGGGGCCGTTTGGATTTACGGATGCATGCGCACGATTGATAGGGAGAATTTATGCATGCATGCGCTCGATTAGCATTATCATCTTGCAACTAGTTAAGATGAATGTACGCATGCATGCACGCGACTGATCATAATACTCCTCTTATCGACAATATTACTAAATAATTATACACAATTTCTTCCCGTTGGTAGAAGCCAAACATGTCTCTTTATATATCTTTGTTTTTCCTTTATTCCTCAATGGATTCATAATTGCTGTGGTCCCATATAGATAATTGCTATTTGCTACATCGATGCTTTATATTGCCGAAAATGGTCTTTTTTTTAGTTTTTTATTTTTTACCCTAAATGGGATATTCTTGATAAAAATCTGGCAGTCAGCGGTCAGTGTGGCATCTGCGCAGATATAATTGAGAGAAATTCGGGACCGCAGCCTCCACATTTGCAACCACAAGAGCACAGACACGAACAAAATTGATGTTTGGTGCCGCAAACGTATACACGCGGCAAGCATGCAGATGCATGATCACACTTCATATGTGATGCGGCTTTTATAGCTTATGATTCGTGTAAGAAGAAAATGACACTTGGAGTTCGATCTTCGAAACTCAACGGGAAAATTTTTGAGAAAATTTGAAATAGGTCTAATTTTATAAACTACTTTTTGAAATAGATCTAATTTTTAGTGACTTTTAACTTTTGAAATATGTCCAATTTTTAGTGACTTTTGACTTTTGAAATAGGTTCAATTTTTAGTTACTTTGGACCCATATAAAAAAACCTCAAATTTTTTGCTCACTATTAGTGGTGATGTTTTCCACGTTGAAATTTTAAAATCTGTGTAATAGAGATATAAATATTAAAATTTAAACTCACAAACGATAATACGTAAGGTGGGAGAAGAGAATTTTCAAGTGTGTGTAAATATAAAATGGTACATCACATGTTATTATACAAGTGAAAATACGTTCATTTTTCAAGTGTTTATCAACTTGAATAATGACCTATTTCGTAAGTGCTCGTATTTCACTACTGTTAATGGTGAACAGTATCTCTAATTGAAGGTGATGGCAAAAATACATCCAACCACAATATTATACTCTCTCTCGTTTGTCGGCAAACATAAGTGCTAAATTTGTCTTCCTAAAATCTATAGCATTCAGCACTCGGAAGCACTACTTAACTGGAGAAAAAATAAACACCGTAAAATCAGCATGGACTACGATAAAACCAAAAACATATACAAGTGCTCCGGCGGCTGGTTGAACAAGTAATAAAAAGCCAAAAGCAGCTTCCTCCACCAGCCAGCCTTAAAAAAGTCAGTGGACTGCTCAGAAAATTAACAAATAACGCCAGAAATTATTGTTCGTGTCATGTCATTAGTCCATCTCCAATAATACTTCCAACACCCATACTCCATACATTGAAATCATCATAAGTAATTTATCCAAGTCCAAATCAATAACATCACCCATCAAAACAAAGACTAAAACCCCATTAGAAAAAAGGAAGAGGGGACTAAGCCCGATGCAACAAGTCAAAAGGTAACAAAAGGAAACAGAGCAAACAAAATACCATTATTTTCTGAACCCAATCTTTTCCAGCAGAACTGATAGAATTCCCAAACTGGACATTACCTCACAGTAAAAGCTTCACATAACAGCCAACAGAGATTTTGTTGAAACAAATCCACAAAGAGAGATTATATTCACTCTAAATTACTTTCCCACACTTTTTAAAATTTTTAATGTTTTTTATCAAATGTTAAAGATGTGTAAAATATTTAAAAAATATTAAAGAAAAAAAGGGATGGAAGAAGTACTTTGTGGTATGAATATAATCTCTCATTCACAAGTCCATGCAGACGAATCAAGTACACAATACACGGTAAAACTTGATAAAACAATAATTTACATTGATAATTGCATTAGCACAAAGAGTCCATGCATTACAGAGGAAGCAAGCATAAGTTTTTACAACGATTTGATAGAGATCAGTAAGAGGGGATGGTGGTAATTACCCCAAACACCATAATTAACAAAAACAAAAGAGGGATTTGATGTTCTTCCACTGTCCACTTCTTCAACTATACAAGAACGAAAGCCCAGTCCCTTTCATAATTACCATCCTTAAATTTATCTACTCCTCAATCCGATATAGATAATCCCCCTAAAAAAGACATAGATTCATTCCATTACTCATCTCCGACAAAAGACATCCCAATACTTGTATTTCTGCAAAAAAATTTACATAAAACAGCATAATCTTCAAATTCTTCAACTTGGCTTTGCTACCAAAATCAAATTCCCCTCTCTCCTCCTCCATGCATTATTCACATAATCTAGAGAGAGAGACCCAAAATATATGATAATTATAGGCCACCAGAATCAAGCACCCTATATAGAAGCATCGTAATAACAACAATTCATCCAACAAGTAATCCTTCACTGAACCAGCTCAGAAACCCACCCAACATCCGGAGCACCGGAACAATTCGGACCCGGGTCCACCCGGCCCACTGAATTCTCCTCCCTCAGCTTCTCAAACATCTTGGCTCTCAGCCCCCTTCCAGACTCCACCCTCTCCATTGCAGGCTCCTCACAACTCTCCTCGCAGAAATCCAAATAACTGATTCCGGAACGGGGCGGGACCCGGGTCGGTGTTGAAGGCAGGCTGGAGAATCCGGGTCGGAGTATGGACCCGCGTGGTGACCCGAACCCTGGAGATCCTGGAGACCCAAACCCAGAAGATCCCCCCATCTTAACATTCCGAGAAGAGGGAAAAGACTTGACTTTTCCGAGCTGCAAGTTCCTAAGCGAAGCTACCATTTCATTAATAGAGCCCGACCCAAGAGACCGGCTCATCGGAGATACTGGCGGCGACACCTCCGGCGACTCTTCCGGCGGGGAGGACATGAAGGGCATGGTTTTCACACACGAAGCAGCAGCGGCCTCCATCGCCTGCCTCAGCGGTGACCCGTCATACGACTCGGCCGAGTTGAGGGAGTTGCCTCCGCCTCTGGGGCTCTGCTGAGGCAAAACCCTAAGCTGCTCCGGCGTGTGAGCAAAGAAACAAACCCTCCGCTTGCAGCTGGTGCCGTCCTTGCAAGGCTGAGTACGGTAGCGCGCCGGGTGGAGCCAGCACTCGAAAACCCCGTGCGCAAACTCGCACGCGTCACCCTTCTTGCAATGACCCTTTCGGAAATCGGGGCAGGCCGTACCCGAATAGTGATACTTCCTCGGGTCGCGGCGCCTGGCCTTCTCCCCCGGGTGGGCGTACGGACACTCGGTCCAGTCATGTGACCGGCCACGTGCGCACCTCCTGACCTTGAACTCGAACATCCTGAAGTGGTCGCAGGAGTAGGCGTCGACCGGCGCGTCCGATTCGCGGCCGGAAATATCTGAGTCGGAGTCCGGGTCGGTCTCGTTGGAAGGCAAGTAGCGCTGGAACGTCGTTAGGGCTTCGTGGAGGTAGTACGGGCTGTTGAAGTCGGCGCCGTTTGCATTGCCATCGGAGCTAACAGAGACGCCGCTCAGGGGAAACGGTGAGTACATCTCGGCCGTGGAATCGTCGTACAGGAGCCACGGAGGGACGTGGACCGTTGGATTGGGACGGTGCGGTTCTCCGAGCATCATTTTTTTTGTGGATTTCTATTTTCCTTTTGCGGTGGATGGCGGTGTTTGGGGAAACATGAGTGAGGTGTGGGTTTATAAACCGCTAAAGGAGTGGGTTTTGAACCGTGGTTGGGTTAATGGGGTTGTAGGTTAACCGTGGTTGGGTTAAAACTTTCAGGCCCTGCTGCTCCAGTTCCCACCGCGGTTAGGGGAGTTTCTCGGTCACTGGGCTGTCTGGTTGGGTTCGGACAGCTACAGTTTTTTCTCCACGTGGTTACCGCGAGGGGCTGGGGTTTATTTGAGTTGATGTCCGTGCCACATGGAGGGTGGAGATTTGAGGGTGAGCTGAATGCAGATGGACGTGCTGTTTGTTGATCAATAGGCTTCCTATGGCGGTGGAGGGTGTGACAAGTAGTAATTCAAGGATTTAAAACAGCTACAAAATAATCCAACAAAAACGCAAAAGAGAAATACCAAAAAGCCTATCTCAAAATAAACTCTCTGTAAACCCTGTAAACACTCCATCAACTTACAGTTTAACGTCAAAGAATCTAAAGAGACTATCTTAAAAATATATAAAATGTCAGATAATCCATATATGTCTAATTTTAAAGAAATCCTACTTAGCATTTCTCAAACATAAAACAACAAAAAAATAAATGGAACAAAGAAACAAATTTAATTTAAAATAGAAAACTCCGAATAAATTCACAACAAATTTTGTTTAAAATGAACTAGTTCTCCTAGAAGCATTCCATGTAAGAATATATAGCAACAACAAGAACGGAGCAACTATTACACATTCGAGATTTGTCTTCATTTGCTCTTAGATCCTAGATCATGTAACGGAACAACACATACAGTGACTTCTTATGTTATTAAAAATGACGAGTATCATATCATAGATCAGATGACTTTGAGCCAATTTTGTTTTTTAATATTTCAACTTCGAATGTACCATTCATATCTAATAATCTCTAATCACGTTCCCCAAACACTCAAAAAGTTGCCATTAGGAACTCATCTTATAGTTGTATAGAACATTAGTGAAGATAACATCAATGCGTGAAAAATATGGATGGGAGGGATGCTACTGTTAGGTTATACCTACTACACTTATCTTTGGATATAATGTAGATCCCATCGTTTGCTTTGTAGCAATCAAAGAGGTATAAACACACATGTCATATTTTTGTAATTACTAATTTCTTTAATTTTATTGACAATTCCAATATAAAAAAACTCCATGTAGTTCTGCTTTATTACTTCTTTCGGAAATTATTGTGCTTCCTTCTTTGACTAGTACCTTGTTCTGTGCACCACCGATTTTAGCGTGCTCGAAAGGTCAAATCAATATCCAATCCAATTGTCCTGAAAATAGGAAAGGAATCCTCTTCCTTTTTCACTTAATTTATCTGGTTGGGGATCCAGATTGTTGAATTTCGATCCAATAACTACAAACAGAGAGTTCCTTTAAAAGTGATAATAAATGTAACCGTTGGATCAAATTTCAACGACCCAAATCCCAGACTAGATGGATTAGGTGGAAAGGGATCCGACTGAAAATATTCACTAAGAAACTCGACAAAATGGTTTGAACCAGGATTCTCTAACACATCTTGACCCGGAATGTCCCCACTAGGACTCCGACTTGTGTGCTAGGATAAATTGATGGGCATCAGTTCAATCGTACAGGTTGTGTTGGGTAACTCCGACTTATGTGCTAGTATAGATTGATGAGCACTTGGTTTGATATGTTTGCTTATGTGAAAATATACGATTATTGACATCATGCGCTTGTATATGAACTATTGTGCCGTATTGATATCTTGATATTTTGCAAGCTACGGTGAGTATTTTCATACTATATGGAGTATGTATATCTTGGAAACTATACATGTTTTACACTGAGGGGTTATAATGTTTTCAAATGTTTTTATTAAAACTTTAATTTCAGGCTCACTCACCCTTGTTTTTCGCCCCTCCAGGTTTTAGTAGCTGAGCTTTCTTATTGACAAGGATTCTTGGCAAATCTTGGTGTAGACGATTACCTTCGATGGTATAATTCTCACATTATCTTACTGTACTGTACTTATGCTTTGACATCACGTGTAAAATGAGTTCAATCCCGTCACAACGCACTCTTATATTTAGGCACTTTTAGGTTTAAATTTATTCACATTTTCCACATCACTACACTTTATGGCTTCGTCACCTTTCAGGTGTCGACTAGCACAGCTCGATTCGGAGTCTTAGTGGACATTCCGGGTTGGGATGTGAATTATGCCATCGAAGGTAATCATCCACACCAAGATTTTATTGTACTGTACTTATATTCTGACATCACATGTGAAATGAGTTCATTCCCGCTCACATGTGCACTCTTGTTTTTAGGCACTTTTAGGTTTAAATTTATTCACATTTTCCATGTCACTACACTTTATGGCTTCGTCGCCTTCCAGGTGTCGCCCAACACAGCTCGAATTGGAGTCCTAGTGGACATTTCGGGTCGAGGTGTGTCATTTTCTCCCCTCCTCTCACATTCTCTATTTTGTCTTTCTCTTTCTATAAAAAATTAATATAAGATGTTGATGTGGCTTAACCGTGACCGTTTAAATAGGAGGGGAGGGAAAGGAAGGGAAAAAAGAGGGAAGATAATCCTATTAATCTTCAGGAGAAGGGGTGTCCCCTCATAATGGGCTTACAGTGACCATCCCGCAGAACTGTTTACCGAAAACATAGAGAAATACAAGTAATTTAGTTGTTTTAAAGATATTGTTTTTATCAAATAATAATATATATACTAAAGGAACAGAAGTGAGCTAAGACTCACTATAAACTTGTAATAATGTGGTTCAAATTCACTTTGGCGAAAGTCAAACATAAGACCTCTCACTTATAAGTAAAGAGGAATACCACCAGACCGCAATACTAAGTGGTTGTTATTAAGATAGTAGACCAAAAGTAGTTGAGTAAGGTTGTATATTTCATTTCCTTTATACGGTCGTATAAGAATAGTTCACTAAACATCAACTCTTCTAACAATAGGACTCCTAGGCTAATAGTTAAACCCCTTTGAAGAGGAAGGACAAAGCGAGGTTTTCTTCTCCCTTTGTGTTCTAGAGTGCAGCTTCCCTACTGAAGACCTTAACGTAAGTAATTTAATACAACATATAGAAAAAACTTACATATTATGATTTGTGTGCAATGATAACTTTACGTGATCGTGTTCTAAACTTTGAAAAATTGCTCGTTTTTGCTTTTGATCGATAATTTAGATCTAATAAGACCAACATCAACTCTTGGACACAAACTCAAATATTTAAATTTACTAAAACACATAATTTAGTTATGTGAACAGTGAATGTCCCCAAACCCTCCACTTAAATTTTAGGATAAATTACACAAAACTACCTCAACTATTGGGTTATTAACAGTTTCATACCTCGTCTTTAAAAAGTTCAATGTCATACCTCATCAATGAATTTGTTACAATTTCATACATTCCGTCAGTTGTCTATCAATTCATCTATTAAAATATTGACGTGGCAAGTGACGGGACCCATTTTCTATTAAAAAAATTAAAAAAAAACCTCAGCCTTCTTCTTCCCCGCTCTCATCTTCCCCCAACCCACGCCTAGCTCACCTAAAACCAGAACCCTCCCTACCCCCCCCCCACCTACCCCACCCACCCCACCAGATCCCCAAAACCAAAAACAAATCCCAAATTCCCTAATTTTCAAATTAAAAAACCCACAAAATTCCCCCAATTTTCAAATTCAAATCCCTCTTCTCTCGGAAGAAGAAATCTAGTCCCTTATCCGCTGCCGCCGTCGCTGCACCCCAGCCAGCCTTCACCCCCACGCACTCACGATCCCCCTCATTCCACTCGCACGCCCATATCGCTGAGCTCGACCAAGCCACCATGAGCAACCTGGGGCAGTAACAAGTTCCGGTTCCTCTGGTTCGCGTTGTCGGGCTCGCTTTCATGGCACTCTCCCTTTCTCCCTTTGCTGCACGATTTAGGATTTGTTTTTGGGAAAGGAAATGTGTGAGAATATGTGTGAGGAGAGAAGGAGAGGGAGGGAGGGAGGGAGAGAGAGAGGGGTTGCGGGGGAGGGGAGATGGGAGGGATGGGATTTGGATTTGGAAGGGGGGACGGATGGGGAAGATGGGAAGGGTGGATGGATAGGGAAGATAGGAAATGGAGATGGGTTTCCCGCGGGGGGGGGGGGGGGTGGAATGGGATATGGGTTTGGGTTTCTTGTTTTTTTTATTTATAAATATTTAATTATTTTTAATAGAAAATGAGTCTCGCCACTTGCCACGTCAGCATTTTAATGGAGGAATTGACAGACAACCAACGAAAGGTATGAAATTGTAACAAATTCATAGATGAGGTATGACATTGAAACTTTTTAAAGACGAGGTATGAAACTGTTAATGGCCCAATTGTTGAGGTAGTTATGTGTAATTTATCCTAAATTTCAGGACATAAAATGTAATAGTTGTGGAATGATTTTAACCTAATTTTGTTTGGTAAGGATTTTTTTTCTTCTTTTAACTTTAAGTTATGTTATCTTAATTTAACTTTAGAATGTTATAACCTAAATTTAAATTTCAGCAAAATTTCCAAAATTGAACAAATCACACTAACCAACCAACGATAACAATTAGTTGACTGTTTTAAAATTTTATTTTGTTATTTTGACCGTTAAATTTGACAAAAACAAATATGAAATGTTAGATCATTTTCAAATGATTGTCTAAAAAGAAGGGAGTTTGATATGGACCATTAAGGTTCAGAAATTGAATGCCTAAATTAAAACTAATAGTTACCATTTGTTTTAATTTAGGCATTTCGATCTAATGGTAACTAATAGTTACCAGTCACTCAGTATTATGGTTTGGTGATATTTTTCTTCACTTGTAAGTGAGAGGTCTTAGGTTCGAATCTCGTGGATAGCGAATTCGATAACAAATTAGGTTGCCCATTGTGTGGCTTAGCCAAACTTTCCCTCCTCTCAATGTAAATTTTATTTTTGTACTAAAAAAAAAACTAATAGTTA